ACATCTCATAAAACATTTTTATTGTGAACTGTGCCTTCGAAGCGAGCAGTCAGCTACCACAACTTCATTTAATGAAGTTGAGAATGAGCATTATTAACGAATATCTTTCAAATTGTATCGTTACCTCGTGGGACCAAATCCATATCCTTTCAACGAAAGGGTAGGTCATATAGTCGGCGAAACCTGGCTCTCGACCTCAATATACGCATATGTAGGTAATAGAACAAAAAAAAACTACACATGTTACAGAGCAGTTTTCAAGAGATTGGAGTACCTCCATAAAAAGTGTTAGAAAGCAGCTGCTCAGCCAAATCGAGAGCGCCGTGGAGCTTTTTGACAGTCGGCTCTTTTTCCGTATGAAACCGTTGTTCATTGATCAAAGCGTGAACAGCTGCAGGCAACTGAACAACGCATTTCCATCACAAAATAGTGGTTCGTTCAGAAAAAATCCCGAATCTCCAAGCCGGGAACATGTAACAGCGAGCCGGACGATGCTATTTTCGTTCAAAATTGTTCAGTTTCAGAAGTGCCAGATAACTTTTGCTCATGGATACCGACTTCTAGATGAAGGCTAACAGAGATATATACGAGGAATAGCGAACCTTGGCTTCCAACTTGGCCGCCATCTTCTTCTGCTTTGATCTCAAGTCAGGGTCCGTCGGCAAGATGGGTTTTGCAGGATCAAGCGTATCCAGGTACTCGGCTATTACAGCTGAGTCGATTATTGTCTGGAAATAAATATGACTACAATGTAAACACTTTTTTCTGAGAGAGAAAAAAACAAGAAATCCAGTTTCTTACGGGATAAACACGATGTTTACAGACCGTCAAGCCTATAAATATTTTCGGGATCTCAGCAGGCTTCACTAGGTTTCTGGACCATGCACCGACTTGTCAAGGATATCCTTTATTGAGCCAGTACTTTCACATTACCCGATACTGACCATCTAGTTCTGCCCTACAGCTTCCTTAACTCCGTAGTTGCGTATGTACGTCCTTCACGATGAGAGCCACCAGCACCGTACGTTACAAAGGTTCGTCCTATTGGATGCCCTTGTGCACTTGGTCAAGATGCAGAATGGAGTAGCCTACCAAAATAATCCAGCAATGATACCTTATTGTTGTGCATGAGAACGGGCACTCTCCCGTCGGGATGTTTTTCGAGTAGGAATTTCGGCTTGTCGGAGAGACTTACATTCACCACTTCAACACTGAAACGATAACAGATCCATGGCGGATGGCACTGAGGCTGCAGTCTGTCTGGGGACGGAACATTCATCCAATTCTGGATGGACGAGGCAAAGTTCGTGGCGTTTTAGAGGACTCTGGCGCCTACCATCGGGGTACAAAGTCGAAGTAGGGTAGATAAGTAGCATTAGCTGGCCCTACTTATCCGATCNCCACGAATTACGCTAAGCGGTTTGCCGCGTCCACCCAGAATCGGGTGAATGTACCCATACCCCAGTCTGTCAAAGCTCATTGCTTACCTCATGTTCTTCCTTGCAATAACTAGCAGCACCCGTTCGCACCACGGGCAGAATCGCATGATAATCAACCGGAGGGGACGTGACGAAGGTTTTAGTTCATTGCCTGTATGGGTAGAATTGAACAGCATTTATTGACTGGACGAAAAGAACGAACCACTTCTCAGAGACTTCGTCTCGAGTCCAATTATTTCCGCCGATAAGGAGCTGACGGACAGCAATGTGACGAGGAGGACGCGCATCTCGTACTGTGGTGTGCGAAGCGAACAACAACAGCGCTCCACCTCCACCACCGAACACTTTTTCGATCTTATCCATGAGCCAATGACCTGCGCCGAGGCTGTAAATATAGCTCAATGACCTCCTTTGTCACGGGTATATAGTAAGATAATTAAAGAACAATACGTAAAAATAGCACAGAACCGATTGGATTGATCTGGGTCGACCGTTCGTAGCGTTTATTTTTGGGATTTTCGAAAATTTCAAGATCGATTCACAGAACTGATTTGGAGAACAAAACTCATTGAGAGAAACAGTGGTAAACAACGAGATGTGCTCGCTTTGGTCATACCCTGTACCACCCAGCGCCCTGCACATTACCCATGTTAAGCGGGCACTACTACCGTTTCCCTTCGTCACCACTTCGGTGAACCAATGAATTTTCCAGAAGACCAACTTCCCCGACAATCATCTCCTTCATTTCACGGAAATAGGGGTCCATCGGACCAGCAGCAGTTCCGGCGATGGTCTGATCGTAACTGCCTCGAACTAACCAGCTACTGCTTAACTGCAAGACAGAGCCGGGAAGCATAATCTTCGGCTTCTTGCCTTGTGGGGCAGCGCGATGGAACTTCACACGTCAACGGAGCTTTAGGAATTGAATTTCCTTCTGCCGTTCGGAGTCTCCAAACATCACTCGTTAACATTAATCCCATAATGACTGCTAGCTACCTGTGATTGGAGAAGGAAGGCTAGTGCTCTTCCTTTATTTCCAAAAGCCCCTCATACTACTCGTTCTCTTCTGCTCTGCGGTAAAACTTCGTCTTTGGTCTGCTCTAAGATCCGGTTCCGCTTCCGAACATTTGCCTTCATTTCCATGTTTTCTCATCGTATCTGACGCCATAACGTTTCCGAAAGCTGTTCTGAGAAATTGGGGTATAATGAAATGGTCTTGTTGCACTCGCTTTTTCACGATTCCCGTCGGTGACGTTTACTGAAAGACACAGTTCACGATAATTTTGAGGCATCCAGTTCCGAATGAGTAATAGAAAAGATAGTCCAGAATGGTGCAAAACATGGCGCAGAAGACGCCGAAATTAGGGTATTTGTAGAAAAATAAGGCTTCGAAAAGAATGTTAAATTGGTGGTTGGACGAGAATGTGGCGACAGAAGTAACATGGAGGGGGTAATTGGACGAGCTGTCTAAGTGTTTGTGCCACTGCTTACAGTTGGCTAAGTAAGCTGCCTGCATGCAATGTCTGCGTTCCGGCGCGAATGGTACAACCTTAACAGCTTTCACAACACTTAAAAACTCGTTCGCCCTGATTGT